TTTAAATTTTCCACTGCATTCTAAGTATTCGTCACGGTAGCGCATTTTCTTACATAACTTTTCAATTCCTATCATTGGAGGTCCGAAAATATTTCTCATAAAATTTGATACCATAATGATCATTCTTCATAAACAATTTAAAACCTACATATTTAAAACATAATCATTGATATTCATAATATCACTAATCATACACTTAGTTTTTACTAATATTTGTTTTCATAAATTTATTACTCATAAGTGTATTTATCCATATTATTGAAAATCATGATGTCTATATTCGTATTAAATCGTATTTTAACATTAAATTAATTTGAAATGGTCCAAAACAGGCAATATTTTGTGCCACAAAACTAACGTGACAGAAACGAATCGCTGCAAAACCGACTCCACGTAGTCTTGTCTGCGCTACCCCTAGAGTGTAATTTAAAAGCCGGAGGCGCGGAGTGAGGGCAGCCCTCACCCGCTGTAACGAGGCTCAGGCGCCCGGGTGAGCTGGAGCGGCTGAGGCTGGTCCAAAAAGCCGAAGCTGCGGAAGCAAGCGTGGGTGCTTGAGCCTCGTTACGCAAGGGCGGAAGGCCATCCTGCAGCGCCGGAGACGAGGAGAGACCGATGCATGCTGCATGCTCTGCATGCTTATCTACTCTATTAATATGATTTTTTTAAAGATACGAGTATGTCTGTTATAAAGTAAATTATTCTGAACAACAACATTATGAGTTGAAGTATGTTCTTAGTAACAACATTATTAATTAAAACAATATGATCAATGAATGTTATGAAAACAAAAGATCTGAAAATAAAAATTATGTATTTTAAATGGTTCTTAGTAGTAACAGTATTGATAAAAAAAATATGATTACTAACTGTTATGAGCTCCGATGGTAGTAATAAAAATGTATGAATAAAAAAAGTATGAAAAATAAAATTATGAAGAGAGATTATTATGAACACAAATCGGTAGTAAGACAAAGAATAGGATTTAGAATTTTATGTGAGCCAATATAGAACCATTCGTCACACTTTTGTATGTTTCATACGTTGAAAAATCATAATAAGTAAACGCGAATAAGTAGGTAGGTACGCGTCAATTTGTCACACGAATTTACACGTACTTTTCCCTGTGACGAGTTGACTCTGTGTCCAATCGACAATAACCCCAAGCCAACTGAGCAAGCTGTTCAGAATAAAATCCATGGTACAGAGTACACATAAATAATAATGAAACGGTTATTTCGGTCTTTAACGATATAAGTAAGTGTTCGTTTGACAAACTATGTAGGTAGTTCACTACTCTCTCTTCTCAGCAATCGACTAGATAAATAACTAGTTTATCACAGCAATCAGAACCTCAGTTCCATATTTACAGAGCGACGCTGAAAATTAGATTCAATCTCAGTGAGGAGGCCTCCGATTGATTGAATTTCAATATTTATGTACAACAACCACAGAACAAAATATTACAGCATGACTGAAATTGAATCGAATTAACGTTGTTTTGTTAGGCTTATGCCCGTATTCACCATCAATCCCTAATTTTTAAGTGATCCCTATGAAAACAAAATGCCTGTAATATGTCACCATATGGGTCACTTTAAAATAAGGGATTGATGGTGAAAACGGGCATTAGGCTGGGAGATGTACCACCTAACTTCAACCGTAATTATAACGATAACGGGTGTTTTTTATGAATTTTGACAGATTTTTGGCGTTTGTTACAGTTAAAGTAAGATAGTGCAACCCAGCCTTAGTGTGTATAGTAGGTATTAGCTCTTGGTCAGGATAATCTTCCAGGAGTACCTAGAAGTGGATATTTTAATGACACGGACATATCCTTAAAATCCTTAAAGTCGTTTAGTTGGCTGAAAGCAATAAAGGCCTGTTTTCAGAACTTAAGAAGATTTAAGAAGACACAAGAAGTTAAACTATGCCAGGCTTAAACCAGACCAGTTTTGGAATTAATTTATTTTAGATAGCATATGTACCTACCTTGTAAGCAACCTATGCTAATAGTGTACCTACCTACCGGACAATTTGAAGTACAACGCCAGTAGACCCAGGGTTTGAATGGGTGGTAGTGGATACCACCACATTTTCACTATTGTTTGTTAGGTATCCAATGTTATTTTATGTTCCTCTTATAATCAAGAAATATCACAGTTCGATCGACATTTAGGCTGAGTTGCACCATCTTTCATTAACTTTGAAAAACGTCAAAAATCTGTCAAACTCCATACAAAAAGCACCGGTTATCGTCAATATTACCGTTAAAATTGTGAACAAACAACCTAAAAAGTAAATGTAAATCATAAACATGATCTTAAAAAGATTTTAATAACTATCTCGCTTTTGTGTGGGTTTAATACTTCAGTCGGTGCGCTATTAAGCTCGAATGGAACCCTATCCTATAACCCTTTGATACGAAACACCTTGCTCGAATTCATCAACATGAATGAATCTATAGGGCATGGCATTCCAAACTTTTCAACTTATAAATGAGTGCCCAGTTCTGAAATTTTAATAGATAGGTATAATCTTTTCGTAATCTACTCATTTTAATAACACCCCTTTCTTTTTGCGTCGGGGATTAAGAAGGGCTATTTTTGGTCTCTAGGTCAAATATGTCTGTAAAACTAGTAAAGTTAGAAGCGAATCTGGGGGCATCGAGTCAAAAAAGCGGCACGGCCGTACCATCCTTTTCTCGAAGCAATCTGGGGGCACGGCAGTGCCCCCACCAAGTCGAGCAAAAAAGCGGCACGGCCGTACCATCCTTTTCTCGAAGCAATTCAGGCCATTTTCGACCGCCTGTAACTTCGTTGTGGATAAAACTAGAAGGCTGAATTTTCATTAGCTATGCAGGCATTGTAAAGACACGGTATATTTAAAATTTCATTCAATTTGAACCAGTAGTTTAAGAATTATAACGGGTCAAAGTTACTTAATTTTGTCACTCACTGACTGACTCACTGACTCACCGATCATCAAAACTCTAAGGCACTTCTAGCAGACCTAGAAGCTTCAAATTTGGAATATAAGTAGTGTTTGGTGTATGAATCAAGGAAAAACTAAAATATTTGGGGGCACGGTAGTGCAACCGCCAAGTCGAGTAAAATTTTTCAATTTCGGTCCAGTTTTCTAGATACATAAAGAAAAAAAAAAAGAAAAACATAAATATATTGACTTGGCCATCGCATGAAAACACGTGTAAATTAAATTATTTAGTGCGATGGCCAAGTCAATAATTTATGTAAAACGTTAATAATTAAAGATTTCCTGGCCTGGACTTGGTATTACATAGATCTCACAACTTTTTACCGTAGAACAACTGAGTTGCGAGACTTGGTTTTTTTGACAAGTATTGTTTTTGATGGGATGGTTTTATTCTTAAACATTTCTGTTTCATTACATAACGCTATATATCTACTTGTACAAAGCATTATTTATATCCCAACTTCCACCCACGGTTTTGTAAAATAAAAACTTTTAATCTTATAGAAATTTGTATCTTTTTAATCTGCGAAATATTGAAAATTACTCTTTCATTGGAGTATGTTTTAATGCAGCCTTTCATCTTCTACTTCAGTATCGCCTAATTAACATTCAACATTTCTAAGTAAAACAATTATCTAAGATAATTTTATTCTGTGAATTGAACTGATATAACCAAATTCTATTCATAATGTAATTAAGAAATAGCAGTACAATATTTTGAACAATTTGATGTGATTCTGTGATTAAGCTCCATAAATAATTAAGTTCTTTAGACTCTGTGATGAGGCCCGTTCCTGGTATTCATTTGAGCCCACGTTTCATAGTGGTGGATTGAGTCGGATAGTTAGCTAAGTATGAATAGGACGCTTTTAGTAAAAATCTGACTTAACTTAATTTTGCAGGTGACTTAATTTAGCCGGAGATTTAAAAAAACTTAAGAGTTGATTTAAAAAATTACATTTAAATTTCAAACATCCTGTGCCCTCGTGAAAATCGTTTGAGTATTTTTTCCCATTTTCTCGTAGCGTGATGTTGCTTTCCGCAGAAAATGGATCATCCATTACAAAAGCATTTTTTCATACAAACTACCTAACTGTAAATCACCAAAACACTATCTATAAATTAAAGTAAATACTTGTAGATTTAATCATCTAAGCCTTGTTGAGAACTCGTGGCAGGTTTTTTTCCAAACTCTGTTTACCCTGCGCACCCACAAAAGGTTTTTAGGACATAGGAGAACGCAAATACTATCAAATTTTGCGAGCCTATTACAGGTCCAGCTCGACTGAACAAGAGGCGCAAACAACCATTTTACAAACACCTTTGTGAAATATTTTGTTACGTATTTTGTAAAAGCTTTGTCATGAAAGGTATTATTACAAAGTACTTATTCGTTTCAAAACAAATACGAACTCAGCCGCCTACGTTAAACAACCAAAATTATACATTTGATATTCTTATCTATGTTGTTTTTTCGCTGGCACGTATGTGGATGCTTCCTATGTTTGTTAGAGTTAATACTATGCTACAATACCTATCACTCTTTATTGACCATGAAAAACAGCTATACTGGCTATAGTATTCAGAAGGTACTGACTCACTGAATCGCCAACCTTTATGAAAATATTTTTTATTTATAGAGAAAACCTGTCCCATTCGTTATCTTATTAGATGGAAAGAGAAAGAAAGAATACCACATAATAAATTTTGTAAAAATGTACTCGCACCTTATTTATTTTTGTTTTTGTACGTTACATTAAATAAAAAAATGACGTGATTCATATTAATCTGCGTTAAGAAAGCTGCGGTTTTTTTCATCCCTTCTCATTGTTCGCTCCCAAATCGGGTAGCATAAGTGGTCGAAAGTTTTGCTTTCGGGCGCGCTTAGCGTATGTTTAAGCAGGCTGCGCTCGCGGGCTTCGCCTTTGACAACTGTTGAGCACATCTGCTCCACGCACGCCTATATCTGAACCCGGCGGGCTGCGGCGCCTTCATTCCGTTCCCGACCGTCCCCCGAGGCAGGCGTCCGACCGCCACCGCCTATACTCTCGCGCCGAACTCTTAACTCTGACGAACTCAGCCAGCGCCAAGATGAAGTGTATAAAAACTGTGCTAATGACTTTAATATGTATACTTATAAACGTGAACGCTGCCGAGATGAGACTCCGCGAAGAAATGCAGGCCATGGCAGAACAGTTAGAAATCCTGAAAACAAACCACCTGACCGATGTCACCCGCCTGAAGAGAGAAGTAGCAGAACTGAAGTAAGTGTTTAAGTTTAATACACTTTTAATGTAATTTTAAAAGTTCTAAACGGCGTGGATCCAGCCCATAAACTTGGCTCGAAGCAGCTTTTGGTATTGTTGCCGGCGATTCGAAAATTTAAATGTTTTGATGAGTTTAAAAGTATTTACAGAGCTAAAATTGTGAATTAAAAAGTTGAGGTTTCATAATGTAAAAAAGTTATTTAAACTAATTCTACTGATACTGGTGGCTTGGCTTCTAACTGTTCTAATTATTAACTGCTTAGCTACAAAACTTTTAAAAGCTTATCTTACGCGAAGGAAGCAATGTGCACAGCGAATTTTTTACAAGTAATAGGACAGGAAAAAATAATAATAAAGAAGAATTATTTTGTTTCGTTTTTTGTTTTTTACTGTTTCGTGGGAAATTACTTACCTATTTGTAATAAATAACAAAAAGCTATTGAAAATTATTTCACCCAAAGATTTGTGTTAACCTTGCAAAAATTTAATCAAGTAGGTACTCGTAGGTACCTAACTAGTATGTTTTTTGCCAATAGGAATATCATTTTTATAAAACTGAAAATTCTTAATTAAATAAACTTTTGTAGCAACAGAAGCCTGTTTTAAAAGTTTAATTTAAAAATGCTCAATATCGCTACAAAAATACAGTTGTTTCTTGAAATTATCAGTGTCATAACTTTGTATGTACCTACTTCTCTTTGGTATCGCGAAGCTCGTAATTGAATTTTCGCTACGAAAACACTTGTTTATTGATAGATACTTTTATACTTAGCGGAACAATGGGAAAGATTTAAATGGGCTCAAATAAATTGGGTTCGGTCGCCTCTCAAGTTGGTGACGAGGTTTTCTCGCATCTGCACTTCTGTAGTCGAGTAGGTGCTTTCGCTTTAGCTGCCTCTTCATTCGCAAAACCTGGGCGTTGACAATTTGAGGAGGACAAATCAAGAGGATTTGTCCTCCTCAAATTGTTGGAATATTACAGCCTACAGGAACTGGTTATTTTCCATCTCGTGAATAAATCACACAATTCATTTATTTAGATTTACGCGAGCCGTTATTTCTTTGAACGCGCCGCTTTAGGTACGTGAGAATGTGGTAGGCAATTTTATGAGTATACTTGCATCAATTATTATAGAACCAGCTAAGTACTAATCTGATTCGCACGTGAAGGTTCCGTACCTACTACTCTACAAGAGCACTGTAATAATTCAATTTTATTTATTTAACAAAAACACTTTAAAAAATCAATTTTTCGTACCTATTTAGGTGAGGGTTTAAGGATCTTTTTACTTCAACGGCATTCACATGTTTTATCGATAGCTTAAATAAGTAATAAGACATGTTCTTACCTCGCCCTTTGTCGTGTAATTTGGTTCGCCACTGAAAGACAATAAGAGTTATTTTTACCTCGAAATTATACGGAAAAAAATATGAATGGTATAACCACCTAATATTGCCTTAAGAAAAAGGTTTAATTAACTTTTGTTATCCCGTTAGTGCTATTTTTATGAAACATTGAGGAAGAAACGAGTATCTGTTTTAAATTACTTTAAAACAATGCTTTGTGAGTTCCGATCCCGGGTATCAGGTACATCGAATAAGATCCCACAAGTGCCACTGGCAGTTCAAAGGATAAATGGTTATTTTTCTTTAATTACAACTTGAAACAGAGCTATAGATTATCAAAGTTTAATATAAGATGGTTTACTTGTAAAGTGAAGATGCTCGATACGAAAAGTTGATCTCGAACGTTGTGGTGACTCGACATAATCTGAAAACCTTTTTAAAGACAAGGGGTAGATTTAAAGACGGCTCTACTTATGAAGAATTAAATTAGAAAATCGTTAATTTCTATAAAGCACTGCATTAAGCGAATGTGTCTGACGCTACAGAATAGTATGCATAATGAATAAAGCCGTTGACATAAATACCGAAGTTTTTCATAAAGGTGTTTAAAATTGAACAATCAAACATATTTAGGCATTCCGACTTTTAAGTACCTACATGAATAATGAGGAACATACAAAGTCCATACTCTCCATTATGATTTTCATTAACCTAATGGACATTATACTGATGGAGAAAAAAGCTTTAAACCTATTATTTTCACAACGTTTTGAGGCAAAGCGATACGTGTACGAAAAAGTTTTAATTTAGTTCTCTAGTTCGTTACTGGGGACTTTTGCAAGCTGGATTTCGGTCAAGTGAGTTTCAAAAGCCAATATTGTAAATTGGCTTATCGCTTGCATTTTTCGCAATCACCTAACTTCAAGTCTTTTTAAAAGTTCCATTTATGTAACGTTCCTAGTTCGCTGAGAAAGAACGAAAGAACTTTACATATTTTGGCAATTAAAAACTTGAAAATGACCAAAAAGAACAAAACTTTTTTCTAAGGATAGCAGTAGGTACTTTCTGCAATCGTTAGTCTCAGGACATTTACTAACAGTTTAAAAAGCTTCACGTATTCAAAACCGGATCTCCGATAATTATATCCTTAAACTCCATTCATTTACAAGACAATGCATACAGTTATAATTGTAAACATATTATCTAGTTAGAGAATCCGTATTCTTATCATACATGAGTAAAAAAATTCGCAAATTCAGATCAAAATGTGCCGCCCTAGGGAGCGTTTAGGCCGTCCCCGCGGCACTCGGCCGTTAAACGTGCCGTAATATACAACAAAAAAGCCTTAACTCCCGAGTGTTGCTCGCGATCGAGGCACGAGGGCCCTCCACGGAACCAGGCCAGATCGACACGATTACTCCGGCCTCCCTCCTCCTGGATTGTCATTTCATTTCACTCTTGAAATGATTCTTGACATCTCGCTGATGATTTTCGTACACTCTTCGCATTGTTACATTCGGCGTAGGTCAAGTGCCCGATAATAAGGGAGTCTGAAGTCTGAAGGATCGTACTTTGTTTTCCGCCCTTTGAAGTGGGAGGTATTTTGTGTATTCTTTGCGGGATGCATTCACGCGGATGCAATCAGTCAATCTTTGTTAACGCGCGACCTCCGAGCTGTCTGCGTCGATTATAATTTGAGATGCAATGTATGTGCGTTAGTTTTTATGATACGAAAATAGTATCTAGTAATATCTATCACATTTTAAAACGTGTTTAAGTTTAAAAATAACAAATTACTACTCCGATATAAAAGCTAATCAAAACAAAAACCTATCCGTTAAAGTTACCGACTGGTATGTAACATTCAATTTAGAGTAAATTTCAGACCGTTTCACTTCATCCCTATGAATACCTACTCGTAATTGGCACCAGCCATTATGCGACCTTCCAACTTAAAAATACTTTAATGAAAAAGAGCTTTAAATTAAAAGATAAAAAAAAAGAAAAAAGACAAGAATGTGTGGAATGTTAACTCACACGATATAATATACAAACCAAGAGGCCGACAATAGTGAGTTACCCACATTACTGTCCCGAGGCAATGAGAGCTTAAATTATACTGAAACTGTAAAAGCTCTTTTTCATTTAAAAGCTTAAACGCAAAAATAAATGAGTTTGGACTTTTTATGACAACAGCCTTTCAGCACTCATCGTATGACCGCGGCTTAACAGAATCTGACCACGTGGTTAACACATGTGGTTAAACCATAATTGAAATCAATTATGCACCAGAAACTTTACTTATTTTGTTTGTGAATGAGGTAAAGTTCTTACAGATGGTAGATTGGTGGTGAAATTAATATGCTTAGATACAACCCAAATTACTTAGCCGTTCGTTGATCCCGACTTTGCACGATCTAAATCGTGTTTTAAAAGATGATAATGGTTCAAGTTCTTTGAAGGGCTCTACGAATGAGGTTGTGTTAACCTAAAACGAAGTAGAAAGAATCTCTAGGATTCTCAAAATATCTCATCAACTTAAGAAGCCTTCTTATGAAAATTTAGCGGATAGAGGAAAATTCTCCGTATTTGAGAGAGCTTTTTGCATTACAGTGCCCCGGCGTGTCCATATAGGCTTAGCAAGGATAACTTAGTAATCTGTATTTTTAATTATTTAAAATAGCGGACAATTCGAATTTACAGTCAATATTTGAATTTAAAAATACCAACGGCTACCCATAATTGCGCGCTGGACAATTATAAAGGATTGAGTAGAAATGTCTTCGCTAGAAATTTTATTACATTCTATACTAAAAACTGGTTGTGGGCTCTGCACCGCGGGACACCTGCGCAGGCGCCGCGCTCGCCGCTCTTGCAGCTTGCACAAGAAACGTCACGCGATTTCAAACTTTGTACCCCCACAATAAAACCTCCAATCTATCCGCCTCAGAACATCGGTATAGTTGTTGGGATGCAGAACCAGGCTCGTGTTAAGATGAGTTTGCATACTTGAAATGCAACGACGCCAGCTGTTGCCACAACTTTTGCTCATCGATTTTTATTGAACTCGAGGTTTATTTTTGCGGCAAACATGGAAGTAAACTGGTCCGCGGCTAGAAAATTATCTTTAATCAATGAACGATGATCCAGCGCAGTTATTTTTGTATCATCTGGCGGTGCGTGGGCACAAAAATGGTTAATATGAGATGGCATTTAAAATATTGATTACGAAATCTTATAGACATGATCAAAGGACGTATTAATTTTAACTCAAACTTGCGGGGTATAATTTTCCATGGTAATAATCATCATTACAGACAGAAGCCTAGAGTTTTTTAGCTATCAATAGCAATTTCTTTTTCTGCAATTACTTCACTGACTTATTATTTTCTTCAATTATTATAATTCGACGCTCTGTGTCTGTCGAGAATTTACTCTATACTCATAATACTATATGGACCTGCAGGTAGAAATTCGGTTTCGGAGTTCATAAATAATTGATCTTATAAATTGATAGATAGATGAATATTTTCGTAATTGCTTGATGATAATGTCGAGCGAGTAAAAAATCTCTACCCTAACTACTTACATATTTTCAAAGGAAGTTTAAACAAATCAGGCCTGTTAACACGTTCGGTTCCGCGGGCGAG